AGAGAGAGAGAGAGAGAGAGAGAGAGAGAGAGAGAGAGAGAGAGAGAAACTGAGAGAGACCGAGAGACAGAGAGACACTGAGAGAGATAGAGATAGAGAGAGACTGAGAGATACTGTGAGAGAGAGACAGAGACAAAAACTGAGAGAGACTGAGAAAGACTGAACGAGACCCAGAGAGACCGAGAGAGACCGAGACTGAGAGAGACTCAGAGAAAGACTCAGAGAGACTGAGAGAGAGACTGAGACTCAGAAAGACTGAGATCGACTGAGAGAGAGAGAAAGACTCAGAGAGAGAGAGAGAGAGAGAGAGCGCCATCTGTGAGCATTTAGAATCCTCTCAATCCTGAGCACGGAGCTCTGAGGACACAGGTGTGTGTGTAGAGTGTGGATTTGTGTGTGAGGCTGTTCTGGGAGGGGAGGCAGGAGGGGGCTTCTTCCTATCCTGGAGGTCTCTGTGGGGAGGTGACATGGGAGGTGGGTGCGGGGCTGGAGAGGGAGGAGACCTGGATTGTCCTGGGTCCTTAGAGATGCAGGAAGGGAAGTGTGAGGTGTGTGTGGCTGGGGTGAGGGTTTAGGGGAGGAGAGCTGAGGGGTGTGGAAGGTTTGGGATAGTGTGAGGAGGCCAGTTCCAGACCGTCCCTGCACACACCCTTCATGCAGTCTCTGAAATCAAAGTGTGCGGTGTTTGTTTGCAAAAGCATCAGATTAATTTCTACGGGAACCGAGGAGACCACTGAGGCACCTCTGAGGCGTGTTTAGGTCTAAATTTTTTACACTTTTTTGTTTTCTTAGTGTGTATATTTTTACATAGTTGAAATGACTGTGAAACTGTCTTGTTGAATAAAGTTTTAACACATTTTTACTGGCCGGGCGTGGTGGCTTAGCCTGTAATCGCAGCAGTTTGGGGGGCCGAGGCTGGTGGACCGCGAGCTCAAGAGATCGGGACCATACTGGCCAACGTGGTGAAAGCCTGTCTCTACTAAAAATGCAAAAATTAACTGGGCGTAGTGGCATATGCCTGTAGTCCCTGTTACTCGGGAGACTGAGGCAGGAGAAGCGCTTGAACCCAGGAGTTGGAGATTGAGGTGAGCCAAGATTGCACCACTGCACTCCAGCCTCAGCGACAGAGTGGGAAAAAAAAAGAAAAAAAAATTGTTACTATTTTAATGCTAATACTTTTCTAGTAATTACATATTATTATTATTATTATTATTTGAAATGGAGTCTCACTCTGTCACCAGGCAGGAGTGCAATGGCACAGTCTTTGGTCACTGCAACCTCCGCCTCCCAGGTTCAAGCGATTCTCCTGCCTCAGCCTCATGAGTAGCTGGCACTACAGGCGCGCACAACCACGCCCAGCTAAATTAATATTTTTACTAGAGACAGGATTTCACCATGTTGGTCATGCTCTTCTCAAATTCCTGACCTCCTGATCTGCCCGCTTCGGTCTCCTAAAGTGCTGGGATTACAGGTGTGAGCCACCTCGCCCAGCCTTATTCTAATAGTTGTGACACAACTTACCTTCCTTTCCCTTTGGTGACCTTTATTTTGACACTCACCAAAACTGAAAATGTATGTTTCTGGTTAATTTGTAATGTGTAGTTCTTTTGAATTTTTTTGACCTATTCATTGCCCGATTATAATGACTGCTCTAAGAATTCCCTGTTGTATTTGGGAGGTAATGGACAATGATCTGTTGTCTGTTATGTCCAGGGCTTAGTATTTCTCTCAGTGATTTTCTAGGTTCTTTGTGCTGTAAGACTAGTAACACTGTATTGATATTTGATTCAGCATTTTCTCCATTTTGTGGTTTGTATGTTGATTTTGAAAATTGTTTTCCATCTTAAGAATTTGAACTTTTATTTAATAAAACATATTGCAAAATTTGTTTTAATGATTTACAATCCATCTTAAATCTATCATTTTGTGGTACTGTTATCTACAGGCTTCTGCTTCTTTCTTAAAAAAAAAAAGTATTTATTGTGAGTCTGCTAGTGTCAGGATTTTCCTAGGCATAAACACCCCAACTAATGAGTCCCAGACCCTGCCTTGACCCAAATGTCATTCTGGAAAGAAAAATCACTTTACAATGACAGGTCTATAATAGTTATGCTTGTTTTGCACGGGAGATGCATTGATCAGCTACATGTAAATGTAAGAGCTTCAAAACTAAAATGACTTTCCTTCATCCTTTCTGCTTTAAGATTCATGCTTTTCTAGGAACTTAAAGATTTGGAGAATCAGTTCTGTCTGTCTCACCTTCCCAGGGGCAGAACCGTTTCTGTGGTGTTCTAAGGTGTGAGTGCATGGCGGTAGGATTCCTAAAACTTCATCCTCGGTTTCCTCATGTACCTTACTCTGTCCCTTTATCTTTCCACATTGCTTTAAATCATATTTTTCTCTCAAGGTGTACAAGGATGATAAACAGGTGCCAAGTGGAGCACCCAAGTGTGATGAGCCCTCTCACAGTGGAATGGAGTGAGAACCTTTCTGACCTAATAACTGAAGGCTACCTTCAGTCATTGTTTTATATATTGATGTGCATTAATCCCATAAAACCCCAAGAGGTGAATTAGTATAATTATCCTCTATTATAGGTGAGAAAGTTGAGACACAGAAGAATTGAAAACCTCTTCCAGGATCAACCAGTAAAAGGCAGATCTTGGATTTGAACCAGGCAACCTGGCTCACATATCAGCTTTAATTAATATGATCTGTATTTTCAAACATTTGTAAACACTTTGACAACACATGCCAATTTTAAGCTATGAAGAAACAAACGCCATTTTTCACAACATCGCTCAAATCTAATGGATCCCCACTGTAAAGATTAAATCCCAGGCTGATGACACTGTGAGGCCACATGGCCAGCTGTGCTGGAGACCTGGTCAAGGCCAGAGCCCGGGTTTACAGAGAAGCAACAAACAGCCAAACAAGGAGACTTGCTCTGTCCTCCTGACTCATTCCCTCTCCCTTTTGTTCTCCCAGTCCAACCTCAGGTGACTGTGTATCCTGCAAAGACCCAGCCCCTGCAGCACCACAACCTCCTCGTCTGCTCTGTGAGTGGGTTCTATCCAGGCAGCATTGAAGTCAGGTGGTTCCGGAACGGCCAGGAAGAGAAGGCTGGGATGGTGTCCACAGGCCTGATCCAGAATGGAGACTGGACCTTCCAGACCCTGGTGATGCTGGAAACAGGTCCTCAGAGTGGAGAGGTTTACACCTGCCAAGTGGAGCACCCAAGCGTGATGAGCCCTATCACAGTGCAATGGAGTGAGCAGCTTTCTGACTTCATGAATTTCTCACCCACCAAGAAGGGGACTCTGCTATTCCCTGAGTGTCAGGTTTCTCCTCTCCCACATCAGATTTTCATTTGCTCCATGTTTCAATCTCCATCAGCACAGGTCACTGGGGGGAGCCCTGTAATAGTTTCCTAGAAACACCTGTAGCCCATGGGAAGCAGTCATGCCTGCCAGGCAGGAGAGGCTGTCCCTCTTTTAAACCTCCTTATGATGTCACAGACAGGGTCACCTTCTCTCTCTGGGCTCCAGGCACTGCCCTTGAGACTGTGTTTCTTGTGCTGTTGCTGTGAGTTGTTTGTTGTGACCTGAGAGGAAAAGAACTGTAGGGGCCTTCCTGACATCAGGGGGGTCCACTCTCAGCTCTGCCTTTATGAGCTCTGTCCCTCTAGACAAAGTACTTAACCTCATTGAGTCTCAGGCTTTCTGTTGATCAGGTGGTAAAGTCAGGCCTTACATCAAGGCTGTAATATTTGAATGAGTTTGACACCTGAACCTTGTAACTGTGTCAGTGTGATTTGAAAACCTTTTTTTCTCCAGAAATGGCCAGTTATTTTAGTTCTTGCAGAGCTGCCTTCTCCCCCTGTTCAAAGCTCTGAATCTCAGGGTCTCAATTAAAGATGTTCAATTTGGGGTAAAAATCACTAAACCTGGCTTCCTCTCTCAGGAGCACAGTCTGAATCTGCACAGAGCAAGATGCTGAGTGGAGTCGGGGGCTTTGTGCTGGGCCTGCTCTTCCTTGGGGCAGGGCTGTTCATCTACTTCAGGAATCAGAAAGGTGAGGA